TGGAGGGTGTTTTTCTAATAAGTCTTTAAGATCACCTTGACACCTGAGCTTATGGCGACTGTTTCCAGCATTTACCATAATTACGCCGTTCATGGACCAAACACTTTTCACTGTGTGGGATGCCACGGCATCCTTCATTAGCCGCAGTCTTTGTTTGGTTAGGTCTTCTCTAACCGTGACTTCGGAGCCCTTCACCATTTTCTTAGATCGAAAAATCAAGTCACGGGCTTCGTGGCGAATGAACTTGACGATGATCGGGCGGGGGCGGGTGCCTTTCCGCCCAACACGGTGAGATCTGTCAATGCTGCTCACGCTCACTTCAACATTCATTTTCTTGGCCATGTCTATGACGATGTAATCAGTCTCTTCATCTTCCCTTTCTTCCACACCAAAGATTCTGAGATTGTTCCTGCGCCCATATTGTTCTAGCTCGTCGAGTTTATTCTCAATCTCGTTCAATTTGGTATCTTTGGCTTTCACTTCCTTTTTCAGGCTTGTAACCTCTGCACTCAATTTGTTTAGTGAATTTTGAATTGCTTTATTTGCTGAAGTAATAGCAGAAGCTATTAAAGACTCAAGCTCACTCCTGTCCATGTCAACAATCTTCTGCTTTCCTTCTGCTGCTTTGGATCGTAGACTATTCACTGTTTTTGCAGGTGGGCCAACCTCTCGCAAGTTATTATGAGTAGGCAGGCTGCCGGGGCTGTCGCACTGTAGCACGCTAGCAGTTCAATAATGGCAGTTGGCGGCACTGAGAAGCAGCCTCCTAACCTCTTCGAGCAACACTACTATTTTGCACTTTGATTTTTCACTTTCAGCACACAACAACGACTCTTCCTATCAATCACAGTCACAAAGGAGGTCACAAGCCACTTTCCTACAACACTGTTACTGGGACCAGTCCAAAATATCACCTTCAAACGATTAAATTCCGACACACACAAACTATCGTTCACTCCGCCATGACACTTCGAGAGAGAGAGCAGTTCAGAAAGGCGTTTCCATAAACCCACTCTTCTGTAAGACTCTGAAAGGCTTATGGATGATTCCTTG